GCATCACCGTCAGTTATCGGTGGCAAGGGTCGATCACCACCTGCCGCTCCTTCTGGAACACCAGCGTGGAATCCGGACAAGCACTTGTACGCTGCTGCTTTTCATTGCGTTTTTCAGGTGTACGCGAAACGCGCACACCTCGCTTAGCCATTGAGAAGCTAGTGAGCTGGGAAATCACATAAAGGTATCAGAACCAGCTCCTCGAGTGTCTGCCGGACGGTACGGTCACCGGAAAAAATATCCAAAGTGCCACTCAAAACCGGGATGTCTGTTTGCGGTACAATCCAGCCAACCTCATCCAAGCAGTGGATCTTTGATAGGGCCGTGTCTTCGCTGGGGACCCGGCGACAGATTCGACCTGGCCGCCACGACAACTCCACCCGGCGCATCACATGACGCCAAGTGAAACCGAGTATCCATGCAGACCGAGGAGCTTGATGAACCCGGAAGGCTGAAGAAATGGAAGATGCAAAGTATACTGGAAACGTGCGCAAATTGTTCCACTTGATTCATTCGACTGGTCCTTGGAAACCTGTTGTCAGCGAAATAATCAGAGACCAAAATGGCTCCCTGATATGCAGCAAAGCAGACCGCTTCGAACAGCAATTCAGCTGGCCGCCTGCTACCCCCAATCCAGAAACCTGGACTTCATCAGAAAGGTGGACCGTAAATATGAAGCCGTCTTCAGCCTCAGAAGTGTCTGAATGTATTTCTCTACTTAAGCGTAATCGTGTTGCTGGTCCTGACGACCTTCCATCTGCACTTTTCAAGGATGGCAGTGGAATCCTCAGCCAATGCATGTCTAGCCTATTTGGGTCTATCTGGGAGAAGGAGGCCGCCCCGAACAACTGGGGTGAATCGATAGTGGTGCCCATTTTCAAAAAGAGTACTCGCCACAGATGTGTTGCGTTAAGACGGCATTTCACTGGATCTTAAGGGTCGTGTGTACCAGGCTACAGTAAGGGCTGTGTTGTTGTATGGGTGCGAGACATGGCCTCTGCGGACAGTTGATGTGAGGCGTCTTCAGGTTTTCGACCACCGATATATGAGAAGCGTGTCTGGTTTTGGCAAACGTGATACGAGCCTATGAGATTCTTGCATTGACTTCATCGGACACACTTCCGTCAGAGCTAATACAACTACCGAGGTATGTAGAGTTTTCCACAATCTCCAGTGTTTCTCTTTGAATTGTAAGGGATATGTTCGTAGATGGCACGTTTTGAAGCATGACTTTGCACTTTGAAGGCGTGAGGCGCATGCCAAAAGATGGCATGATGGTGGTCAGTTTATTCAACAGAGCTTGTGCTTCGCTTTGATCTTCAAAGATGAGAGCGATATCATCTGTGTACTCTAAATCGACAAGGCTCTCACCAGCAACAATTTGAACACCGGAGTTTTGAAGACCGTCCAGTGTTCGCCTCATTATTTCATCATTGACGAAGTTGAACCCGACACCACTTTTCGTGAGAAAGCGTTTGGAGAGCTCACCATACACTCACCCAACCAGAAGTGTGTGAATATAGGGACCGGATTATGTTTACAAAATTCTGGGACATACCCTGTCGAGCAAGTGTAGCTAACAGCACCGATCGATCAACAGAATGAAACGCACCCTTGAAGTCAATGAAGCACCAGGAGGGTGGGTCGTTGCTATAATACCTGATGGAGTGTGAAGATGTGGTCAACGCAGCCTGCACCCGGTCGAAATCCCGCTTGATTCTCACGATTCAAGGCTTCGCGTGCCACCTTAAGACGACGAATAATCAGTGACGCCAGAAGCCTTGTTACAACAGGCGTCAGGCCAACTTCTCTGTGATTACTACTTTCACTGCGAGTATCCTTTTTGATAATGGGCATTTCTATCTATTCACCCAATTGTCTGGGACGGTCTCCTTCTCCCAGATAGACCAAAATAGGCTAGACAGACACTGGCTGAGGAATCCACCGCCAGCCGTATGAAAGGTTGCTTCGTGGTCAACAATTTACTGTGCGTTTACTGGTAGTTTCGATTTTGTGTTTTAGAATTTGTCTGATTGCATTTTCCCACGAATCACCCTATTTACTATCTCTCTTTTTCCCTGCACCATTACCACCTGATCTATTTACTCACTAACGTATCATCTGGTCTTCATTTATCAGGTTTAATATTTTCAAAGGCTGCCCAAACGCCCGAACTTGCACGATTATTTTGAGAGGTGGTGCTGAACAATTTATGGAAGAGACTGAACGTTCCCTTCATGATGCAATCATGGTCGTTCGTCGGGCAGTTAAGAATGATGCTTTTGTCGCTGGTGAGTGATACTGTTCTGCAGTGGGTGTTGGGTTATTTTAACGATTTCGGCCTCATCAGACAGTCCTTCCAGTTTACCCAGTATGGCTTCTCTGAAAAGGTGTAGTAAATGTTTATTTGAGGTTTTACTCTAGATTTCTTAACGCCTCTGGTTTTGGACTTGCTCTCTCCCTTCAATATATACACTTCAAATAAGAGGTGTGATTGAGTCATAGGTTCCGTGGAGGATAGTAAGACCAAACTACAGACTATTGTATCTCTGAACCACAACCTGTAGGTAGTATGTCTGTCGATCGGGCAGCATGCAAGCAAAAAGGCACATGGTCTTGATGGAATGGATATCGGGGAATATGATTCGAAACGGAAGTCGGACTAGCGAAGTGCGTCACTGTCCAAATGAACATCAGTGTTAGGCTACAATAGAAAAGGGGAAACAATTGAAATCATCATCGTCATTGTCAACTGTAATAACCGCGTACTCGTCGTACTGTGGTTGTAGCTGCCGCAGTTTCGTTCACTGATGGTTTTGGGGGGGGAGGGGTAGGTAGCCGCGCGTTGCAGGCGGGAGCTGATAAATTGGTGCATAGATCCAGCACTGTCAGTGGGCTGTCAAGTGGTGAGGGGGTTGGAAGAGGAGCTATGCATTGAAGGCAATAGCTTGGGTGCACGAGCGCCATTGAGGGCGCGATTGGGCCATATCTGACAATGTCTCTAGCCATTAATGTGGCCCGTCTCGGGGTCCCTATCCAGCTAGACGGCAATGATCAGCGCAGCTAAGTTTGCTGGTAACGGCTTTCATACTTCGCTGCCAAGTTATTGGTTGACCGCATCTGACTCTCTTCCACCCTTCACGTGGTTGTGCGAAAAGAGCCCTTCGAGGAAGTCGGTCGACTGGCATACGCAGCACGTGGCCAAGCCAGTGTGATCAGTTAATCTATCGAGGGTGAGTTATTTCTCCCAAATACCATTCGACGTACTTCAGAATTGCTGATCCGGTGTTCCCACCAGATTCGGGCAATGCTCCGAAGAC